ACGAACTCGTTTGATCAAAGCATGGAAATGCAAGCCTTACTTAAAACAAACAAAACTTTGTTATTCCTTGCTCATTTTTCCTGAAAGGGCAGAATTTGAACTTTCTAGAAATGTGATTTTCGTTTTAAAATTCAGATACCGCCCGCCAAATGACTTTTTGGTTTCCTGACTTCAAATTGCTTTTAATCACTCATGCGTAAGAAATGAATCATATGAGTTGCATCAAATGAAAGAAGAGGATCTAAGCTTTCCAAATATGTGTCATTTGTTAACTATAATTGTGATTAAGTTATGATAAAGCATCGATACTTCTCGGTTTCGTTTTTTCTGGGACGCACTGTAAAAGATTCACTAAATACGAACCTTGATGTTCTGAATAATGGCGGGGTCCTCTTGAACACCTTCATCGATGGCTACAAGTATATTCTTGATCTAAGCTTTCCAAATATGTGTCATTTGTTAACTATAATTGTGATTAAGTTATGATAAAGCATCGCTACTTCTCGGTTTCGTTTTTTCTGGGACGCACTGTAAAAGATTCACTAAATACGAACCTTGATGTTTTGAATAATGGCGGGGTCCTCTTGAACACCTTCGTCGATGGCTACAAGTACATTCTTGAATTCTCCATCTTCTAGACTGATTCGATTGACATCCTGACTTAATACTCCAGAGTTGAAGATGACCAAGACACTTACCAGAAGAAACAAGATTCTAGTCGGAGACATTTTTGTGTTAATACAGCATATACCATCAAGTATGGCGAAAGTATGCGTTTTTAGCGTTCGTTCGTCTCTTCCTTTAGTAGTGTAATCAATGCCTTAATGTGAGTGTAATGTTATTCTTGAACCTAATTGATATCTGATTCTGGAGATGATAACCTAATGTTTATAAACTGGTATCCTAGAAACTTGGACAAAGTGCAATGCGCGATAGAAGAGTTCGATCATTGAGAAAGAGGAATTGTCTGCCACATACAAATCAATGATTAATTATTTGAATAAGAAAGGGATGATTTGTCTTTGAATATGGATGAAAGAAATTATAATAATAATTAAAAAATATCAATGACAATAATAATAATTATAATAATGATCATAATGATCGTAACAGTAATATACAGTTTTCAAAACGTACTTTGGGTTTAACGAATGCTATCTAGGCTACCGATGTCAATGCTCACAAGCACTCGAATTCTACCCACTGGTACCCTTAGTGTAGCGTGGTAAATCTAGTCATGTAGAGTAATGTCTTGCCGAAAGGGGCTTGAACCCACGACTTCAATTTACGAGCTTTATCTTTAAAGGAGATAATTATTTAATGATTGTACTAACGGCAGCAACTATTTTTTTTATTCTTGTTTAAATGAATACTGTGAATTGTTAAGTGGTGCAAAAAGTGATCAAAGTTTAATCGACATTAAGGCTCTTTTAATTTCAAATGTAAAACTAAAACATATTTAAAAACAACAATAATAATACAAATTATATAATAATAACGATAATAATAATAAGTGTGGGTTTTTGTATAGCTCTCCTGTCTGTCAGACCTGACACTCCTGGCGCTACACAATCATCATCCCGGCTTCAGCACGGCTGCCATTGTGGCGCTCTAGCGTTTTAAGGAATTAATCCCTGCCAGGCACTCATTCACATCACCTAGGTCAAGTATGACAGATGTAGATTAATATCTTGCCAAAAGACATTAGTGATCCCCTGTCCGATGGCATATCCACTAGACCACGGCACCTCTACATTATAAACGATAAAAGCATAATGTATTACATGGATGAATTCAACCTCATTGATTATAAAAACCAACTTCACCCCTCGTAATGGAGTATTGGGAAACACCAGCATATCCCAGTTTTTTTAAACCTGAGAGATACGGGGGTTACATGGATTCAGTTCGCTGTCCCTCTCAGGCGCAGGTGACGCCAGATACTTGAAAATGATATATTTCATGTTCTTTATTCACTAAAAATTAAAAAGCAAATAGAAAAATGTCAAGGTTACCAAATTAGAGTTAACATGATATAAACAAAATACCAAACATGCACACAAACACACAGATTTCTTTTTGCAGATATGCAAAAACGTATATAATTTTCTTTGAACAATCCCCCTCTCCCCCCCCCCCCCCCCCCCCCATGTCCCAATCAGGAGGAAAGCGTCAACGTCCATGTCACTGCGCATAACCAAGAGAAACACATACACATACACACACACACACACGTGAGCGCGTACACACTCACACACACGCCCATACGCACACACGCACACGTACACGTAAAAGCACCTCACTCGCACAAAATACCTACATGAACACATTACATCATACTCATAAATGGTTATCCGCGGTGGCACTTATAACTAACACCTATCCCCTGAACTGTCTATAAATCAAATCAAATTTCAAATAAAATAAAATCATTTATATCCAAAATCCAAAATAAGTATTATGAATACAAATTACATCCAAACCATTAATACAAAACAGAAACCATCAAAAGCAGCACTCCCTAACAAGTCTATCTTTTGATTGCCGTCTCCCTGACAGTATTCCATCTCTGCCAATTGAATGCACACAAAGATAAGTAGTACAATCATTAAATTCTTGAGAACTTAAAGGAACAATAATTTTAATGGAATTTCCATTATTATATGATTTGTCATACATCCTAATTAATTCATTACAGAAACATTACTATTCAAGTCATTCGAAGTGTCCACAACAAAGTCTGTTTGGACTGTTTCCAGGGTGACAAGCGGCGATAATTGTTATACTAATATCCTAATATTATAATGTCTATTATTTGTTTTGTTAATTATTGACGAGGATGTTTGTCATGTGGGTATAACATCCTCTTCCCAAAGTCCATAGATCTAAAGTCGACTGACAAATTTAGATCAACCAGCAATCTTTAATTTCTTTATAAACCTTCGTTTGCACTTTCTTATGACTGGTTACGTGTAAGGATGAAATTTGTTGCCTGGTCATATGTCCTCTTTCGACTAATCATTTGATCAGGATCCACGTCATCTTGTTATGACATAACCTATAAAGATGAATATAATTTCAGATGTTTAAGTTTAAATTTCGTGATAATACACGTTAACGATCGACATGTACGCTAATCACTTAAAGACTGTATGTATTCATTGTAATATATAATTAGATCAAACGAATGATATTCTCTAAAATGCCATTCATCTGAATACATGCTTTTTTATATATATATTTTTTTTTTGCCATTTTTTAATACATACATTCATACATACATATTAATATTTATAGAGCGCCTTTACATAAACATGTTCAAAGCGCTTTACATTTTAAAATAAAAACAGAATAATTATATGCCCTCCAAGTGCATTACACTCTAAAAATAACAATTACAAAGAAAACAAATGAGTTTTTAGATTTCTCTTAAATGATGCGACAGAGGTGCAGGAACGAATGCTTAATGGGAGACTATTCCAAATAGAGGGACCAGAAAAAATTATATTTTGTTGACCCTTCTTCGAATTGATGTGGGGAATTTGCAGAAGAATGGGGTCTGACCTTGAACGTAATGAATATCTTGATTGATGGATAGAACAAAACAGACTAGAAATATAATGAACGCTCTGATCCACCGAAAATCGAAAAATGTCTTGCTGTTTTTATTTAACAAAGGACTCAGATCAAATTATGTTGTGAGCGGAGAAGGATAAAGAGAGATAAAAGAGATGATTAACTTATTAATATAGCTTTTCATTATAATACGTGACATAAAGATGTCGTACCTGCTTTCAAGATATGCAAAACTATACACTACAGTTGTACCTCACATATTGTCTATTTTGTAGCAAACGACCAAAAGTCGCTAGTGGTTTGCATTTCTCACATGTTAAAGTGAAATAAGGTTAGTTGGAAAATGTTTTCTTCTGGTGCAGATCTTTGAACTCCATATGCATTTCTTCTTAATTATACACATTTAAACAACTATTAGATAGTACCAGGGCAAATAAAGATAGCCTGTGTAAATATAATGCGGGGAAATTCTGACGCCTGCATTTTATATGAATGTTAATGGGATGTGCAATCAAATCATCTACGTGACCTGATGAACGTTTAATGAAATGACAAATTTTGCTCTTTGCCAAAAAGAATATTTGATCAGTTGATAACTGATTTGAGAATTGATCAATTTTACAAACTGATCATTTTGACATACGGTGTATGTTAAATCGTCTCGTTGAATATAAAACATTCGCTTTTGTAAATCTCATTTCTTTTTACATATTAGAGCCATCGATACATTATTATGAGACCGTAAAAACGATCTATGTTTCGTATTATTAGTATTATAATTAGTGAAATAACTATATGAAATCATTTTCTCTGAATGTCTGTGTGCTTTATCCAGCGCACTACAATATAACATTCTTCCTCTTCTTCTTCTTCTTCTTCTTCTTCTTCTTCTTCTTCTTCTTCTTCTTCTTCTCCTCCTCGTCTTCTTCTTCTTCTTCTCCTTTTTCTTCTTCGTCTTCTTCTTCTGCTTCTTCTTCTTCTTCCTCTTCTTTTTCTACTTCTTCTTCTCCTTTTTCTTCTCCTTCTCCTTCTTCTTCTTTTTTCTTCTACTCCTTCTTCTTATTCTTCTTTTCTTATTCTTCTTCTTCTTTATGTTCTTGCGCCTCCTCCTCCTCTTCTTCCTCTTCTTCTTTATCTTTACTTCTCCCCTTCTTCTCAATAGTCCGTTAAAAACTGCGCATCCAAAATCATCGTCTCCATGCGTCATTGTGGATGTATGGAACTGTGGCAACTAGCAAACACGAACTTTGTTCGCTTTTGATGATTAGAATTTATTAGTTTTAGAATTAAGTATCCTTTTCAAAGAATGAAATGTTACATTTCGTTATCAAGTAAGATTCAAGACTATAAAGGCATTAAAAGGCAAGAAGATTTTTATTCGCTCTTTATCTCAGGAACTGTTACTGTAGAATAATTGAAGTAAAATGGAGAAAAGGGTTATTTATACGATTCTACTCTTGGAAATATTTCTTGTTGAAGTAGTAACGGGCCAGAAAAATACCATCAACTTAAACAATGGAGCCTACTCGAATCTACTCATCGCAATCGACAAGAATGTAGCTGAGGATCTCAACATCATCGACAACATCAAAGTAATGTGAATTTGTTTTAAAGATCAATAATTTCATAATATACACTGTTGGTCATAAAGGTGGTATATTTTGTTTACAGCCATGCATTATTGTTCAAGGCATGGCCGCACAAATAATTTTGTTATGTTGGGGATCGGGGGGGAATACATAGAATTATTGATAATTTATTACATTTTCTTCTTTCTTTTTTAATTTGTGGGGGCTGCCCTCTACCCTAGCCCCCGCTGCGTACAGTCGTGGTTCAGTGGCAAAGCAATGGCCTCGTACTGTTAGGCCCCAGGATCAAAACCGTGTCGATGTGCTATATTACTGCCCTTTAGTGAGGCATTAATCCGCATTACTATCCGGTAATGACTTTAAAGGACGTAGGTCTCCTAGTTGATTAGCATTGTAGCAAACACATGCTTTATTAGTCAAGCAAAACAAACACTCGCAAATTATTATTCAATAAAATCTGGGAATGTATACTATTATCTAGATCTATTAGGAATAAATCGTTGTCAAAATCGTTCCATTAACTGGGGTTTAAAACATTATATAGGTTGAAAATCTTGCAGTTGATTTACATATTTGAATTTATCTAAAATTCTACACTAAAAACAAATTTGCTTTCAATTTGTTATTAACATATCTTACCTGTGATTTAGATTGACTTTCTTTTTATCTTTTTTTCAGTTGTATATTCATTTGTTCATTCATGGACTTATTCATTGAAGAGTTCCTCGGTCATTTTACAAAACAATATTTTACTTTCGTGATTGTTTTAATCTAATTTTGGGTGTTGTTGAATTTGTATGTCAAACAGTTTAAACAAAGTTAGGGCAAGCTTAGCTTGAAGATGCATTCGCACCACACAGACATAATTCGTTCAGACTAATATTCTGTAGCGAAAACAACAAGTGAAAAAAAAAATGTGTTCGACGCTTAAGGTTTTGTGTTGTACACAGAAAACCTAATTTTTGTATTCTTTCATCAATATTCGGCTTCGAACATATTTATTTTGAAAATCCTTGCAGAAATGTGTATTATATAACATCCTCTTTCACATTATTACAACAGTGAAGTGAAATGTCATAAGAATTCACAGCAACTTTCGGGGCCCCTAACACTTTATTGGGGCTTTTGGGCCTAGGACTCAGTCGAAACATTTTATGAAATTGAAAACTTATTTGTGCAACAAAATTTCGACACTTCAACTAACTCCAAATCCGACCTAAACAGAATTCAGTGTTAGATGTCACCCTCTTTCAGTTCATTGTACACTTGAAGTGAAATCTTGCCATCATATGTTTGGAGCTCCCAACACTTAAAATAGGCTTTAACAGAAACAATCCAACATAAATTATTTGAATATTGACACAAGAAAGGAATACAAAGAAAATCAACACTTACGAATAGTCTATTATCTTCCTGCTACTTTAAGATTATATTGATTAATTTTTGGATAAACAGGTCCTGGTTTCTATAGCATTGATTTTTAAAAAATAACTTTTTTTTTTTGGTCTTTGCATATAATTGTAAAATTTACGATAGGGCTTGAAAACATCGCTGGCGGGAATTGGATGTAAACTGAATCCAGTTTTATTCTCTTTCATAAATAAACCCATATATAACATCTGTGACATTTCTTTTTACTTGAAATACAATGTTCCTGATGTAAACAAATTTGTTCTGCATGTTTATATCTATGTTAAATAGTACTGCCTTGTCCAACTAGATGGGTTCGAGACATGATTAATATTAACATATTTAAAAATGTAATTCGTTGTATTTAAAGTAGAGGCCTGTTTGTGAAATGAGTTCCGAATAACTCCACTTTCCCTTACCTCTACAAAATTGCTTCAAACGCAAAGAAATACAAAACTTATCTTATCTTTACACTTTACTGTCCACCTGAGCAAATGATAGAATGAGCTATAAAATCCCTTTTTTGAACATGAGTAATTCTTTCATTTTGATTGAGAGGGCTGGGTGTCGACCATTATGTCCATGCTTAATACATTAAGCTTCTTTTTAAAGATACCCCCACGGTAATATTTGCAGAATAAATTCAAACTTCTCATAGGAAAGAAGATTTGATCGTAATACTGGTTTGATAGAGACTTAACTTTGGTGAATATTTTACGTACCTCCATGAAATTTTACAAGAAAGACCTTTATCCAATACATAAACGCGACGTTGTATTGTTAGCGTTTTAACTCTCCCCCTGTTTTTTGTTTTTGTTGTATTCATTAATTTTATTTCTCAAAGCTCCAATTCTTTTCCGTACATAAACATAGTTTAAACAAAACTGCAACATAATGATAACTAAGCTTTTTATCATTTTATAAGCAAACATAAATGCAACATAATCCACTGTTCATTATTTTACAATGTATGGGCGAAAATATATCACAATCACAAAATAGAAAGATATATCACATAATCGATTCATGCTTAAATATTAACCTCGGGAGCAGATAAGGCGATTCAAAGAGTAAAATATTTGTCAAAAAGTATTACTTTGAATTATTTAAAATTGGAATAAAATGAACCCACTATGGAGTCTATAAAATACATTTATCTGTCACAGACAGAATGACAATTTTTGAACGCATTATTTCATGATTTAAATTCATTTCAAAGGTTTAGATATCAAAGTAATTATTAATATACCTTGTTTGTAAGATAACGAAGATAGTCAATGTCATTACTAGATATCGACTTGTATGTGTGGGTGTAATTGGGTGCGTGTGTGTATGTTTGTTCCTTTTATCATATTATTTGTTTGTATGTGTACAAGTAAAGGCCTTCAAGAATGTATGCAAGCAGCAAAATAGTTACGACATTCATTATATATTATCATTATATCAATTCTTACTTAGATAAATAACATGATTATTGCAACACAATATGACTAGCTAATTACAAAACATATAAGAACCTGATATGAATTAGATGATAATGAATCAAAGGGTACCCCTTCAAGTGAGATAAAACTGCCTCAAGATTTAAAGTAAACATGTTATTTCTTAGTCGGGGAATTTATGGGGAGGACATTATTCTTACTGTCTTACATTGGTATGTCTTACAGATTTGTATCATTCCAGATAATAGCAAAGTAACTACTTCATATATCTTGGAGTGCATGTAAAGTGGTTTCTAAGGTAAATCTCTTTACACCCATGATAATGGGAACTGGTCTGAACTCCGCCTCTTGCCCTGATTTCAGAATACAAGCAGACCATTACACGCACTATTGTGGAGGGGTCGTGGTATAGTGGTCCCTTTACTTGACTCTTAGTCCAAGGATTGATGGTTCGAATCCTAGCTCGTCACTAACGTACAATGGCAAGACATCAATCCACATTTACCACTCTCCACCCAGGTGTAATTGGTACCTGGTAGTTGCTGGAGTAATAATAATTTTGTCCCGCTCAAGTAGTGCAGTATTCATACAGATGTGGCTATATTTGGTAAAGAAGGAAGCATCATTATTGTATTTTATCATTGTATTATACAAGGGTGTCGATTTGTATCCGTGGTTGGGGGGGGATGATAGGTGCCAAAATATTTTCGGCAATGGATCAAAGCTACCAAAGTGGTAAAAGCGTGTGGCAAGTTGCACCCCTCCCAAGCGCTTAGTCAGGATTTAATTTTAGGGGGGCGGTAGTGAGCACGCGAAGCGCGGTTCCTAGGGGGTTGGGTGCAGGGAGGGTTAATCCCTCCCCCCCCCCCCGCGCAAAGCGCGGAAGCTTTGACGTTTCACTAAATTATTATAGAAAGAAGACGATTCGTTGGACCGTTCTCGACTCTTAATCCTTGTTTGAATCAAATTCCCCTTCCTCCGCGCGTAGCGCGGAAGCTCTGACGTTTTCATTAGATTATTAAAGAAAGAAGACGATTCGATGTACCATTCTCGACTCTTAATCCTTGTTTGAATCAATTTCCCCTTCCTCCGCGCATAGCGCGGAAGCTCTGACGTTTCATTACATTATTGAAAGAAGACGATTCAAAGTACCATTCTCGACTCTTAATCCTTGTTTGAATTAAGTTCCCCTTCCTCCGCGCGTAGCGCGGAAGCTCTGACGTTTCATTAGATTATTAAACAAAGAAGACGATTCGATGTACCATTCTCTACTCTTAATCATTAATGTTTGAATCAAGTTCCCCTTCCCCCGCGCGTATCGCGGAAGCTTTGACGTTTCATTAGATTATTCAAGAAAGAAGACGATTCTATGTACCATTCTCGACTCGTAATCCTTGTCTGAATTCATTTTTGCCCATTCCTGCGCGAAGCGCGGAAGCTTTCACATTTTATTACATTATTAGAGAAAGAAGACGATTTGTTGTATCGTGTCCTTCATGAATTCAGTTTTCCCCCTACCGCGCGAAGCCCGGAAGTTTTAATGTTTCAATAAATTATTACTCTTAATCCTTGTCTGGTTTCATTTTCGCCCATTCCGCGCGTAGCGCGGAAACTTTCACGTTTCATTAAATTATTAGGAAACGAAGACGATTAGTTGTATCGTGTACTTTGACGTTTCATTTGATTATTACTCTTAATCCACGTCTGAATTCAGTTGCCCCCAAACAGCTTTGCCCTGTTCGCTAAATTATTAGAGAAAGAAGACGATTCGTTGTACTATTCTCTATATTAATCCTTGTCAGAATTCAGTTTCCCCACTGAAAATAAGTTGTGTCACAAATAAGTTGTGACATAATAATCTTTCTCCAAAAATGAAAAATGTTTTAGGAAATATCAGGAAATAAAATGAGTGAAAAAAAATAAAAATAAAGATACAATGACGTGAATTTTAAAAAGGGTGAACGGAAACAACATAACAACTAGTGAAGTCATACTAATGTCCGAAAATCTTTCTCCTTGTCTCCGATCTCATCACGAAATCGTCACAGAGTTCATCTTTGTTTACACTGTCCAGGATTGTCTGATGTGCATTGCAGATTGCTAATTTTGTGCTTCGCGCTTAACATTTAGCTCGTTGCTTTTGATGCTGCGTCTTTGCATTTGGCGCACTGCATTTCTATGATGCTGTTGATTGAACAAATTGAATAAATTCATCAATTCCTGATGAAGCTGTATGAGCGAGAATTCAATTTATTCTTGTCTCATATACGGTTGTCTTATTTACTTCGTATATATGTATGTATTATGAAAATGATATAGCAAAATGTGTATATTAATGGTCATCTTGCGAGTAATAACCAATAACTACTCTCATCGGACTCTCATCATTAATTTTTCTCTTCATTTTTTAATATTTTTTTATGGTGAATTATTGGGGGGATGATTGTACAGACCACCCCCCCACCTGAAATATTGGGGGGGGATATATCCCCCCCCCCCATCCCCCCCCCCCCGGGATCGACACCCATGGTATTATATGAGAGGGCGATGAATGCTGATTATTTTTCTTTCTAAAGTATTTCAAGTCTGAAATCTATATCTAATTATGTGATTGTACAATCCAATCGACTCTTATTTTCAATATTGAACCTTATTTAATTTAACAAAATATACCTTGTAATGTAAATGTTTTAACTTTCTGATATAGCCTGGTCGTTACACATTATTTTTGTGTATTCATTATTTAATTTATTTATTTCTTCATTTATCAATAACTATATATAAATAACTTGTTTTCATCTCCTCTTTCTTATCATAAAAAAACAAATTGCAAAGGAAATTTCACGAATTCTATCTTGATGTTTTCCCCGATCAATATAGGATCGCATCCTATGCAATAATATTTAATAGCTCAATAAATAGATTTATGCAGAACTATTTAGTTTACCAAAAAAGGTATTCAATTTTTAAAAAATTGTAACGTTTATATATGTGTAATAATATATAATCGGGAACACTTATCTACGATGTATTACAAGTACTTATTTATCTTGCTCTCTCCCTCTTTATCTTTCTCTCTCTCTCTCTCTCTCTCTCTCCCTCTTTATCATTCTCTCTCTCAGACGATGTTTACATCAGCATCTGAGCGTCTCTACCTTGCCAGCAAGCAGCACGTCTACTGGAAGCACATCAAGATTTTGGTACCTAACACTTGGTCCATCCAGAGCGGGTATCAATTTTCTCGAACCGAAACGCTGGAGTCGGCCAACATTATCCTGCACAACTTTCATGATGACGAGCCGTTTGTCGATAACCTAGCAGGATGTGGGAAAGAAGGAACTCTGATGCACATGACGCCGGGCTATATCCTAAACGAGGTGTACCGAGAAGACAAGTTTGGTCCCACAGGTGGGTTGCTATTGATGCAAATTAAAATATGTTATTAATGATATGAATACTGAAGTATGCAAGTAAAGAGAAGAAAGCAAAACAAGAAAAGAAATTAACATACTGGCTTACTCCAATAAGAAAAATATTTTGGTCAGATCTCATTTACAGAGAGAGGCATGAACATGTTTTAACATGACTTGTAATGAGTCTCTTTTTGTAATGAGTCTCTTTTTGTTTTTTGTTTTCATTTTTAAAATTTTAAACAGACATCATGTTAGTTCGAAGCTGGGGCTACCTTCGTTGGGGGTTATTCAAGGAGCACTACGATGGTGTTGGCGTTGGTGCTCCTGCCTATGACTCACCCGGTGTAGGTTCTGAAGGGACCCGCTGTTCTCTAAAGATCAAAGGAGATGTTGAGAAAGCTGATGGAACTCCATGCCAAAGTAATCCTAACGGTGGTTATGATTCCGATTGCCGCTTCGTTCCTGATACTAGAGAACAGACTGCGACCGCTTCACTGTTATTTGGAACCAAGGATGCTCATATACATTCGGTAAGTTTGGCATCGTAATCAAGCAGTAGATGTTCCAGAGGGGGGTTAGGGGCTCAAGCCCCACCACCACCCCCTTCACCCCCTCCAACAATATATATATATATATATATATAGTTAGGAATTGCATTGCCGTTCTCATCTATGTGCCAAGATACTTAATTTTGCGAAGATAATAAAATGCTAACTCTTTTTTTTTTAATCGCTGAAAAGCTTTCAATAGTTAGTTCAATTAATGTTTTTAATAATCTGAAATCAAATTGAGTGTTTTAATCAATATTTCAGATAGAGGAGTTTTGTAGTGACGATCAATCAGATCCAAATAACTTACACAATCCTCTAGCACCAAACTTGATGAATAATAAATGCAGTGGTGACAGTGCTTGGAAGGTGATGACAGAGCGAACAATAGACTTCAAAGCAGGTATCCAACCTGTCTCAAACACTACTCCAACATTCGATGTAATCCAGCTATCTACAATCAGAAGTGTAGTACTTGTGCTTGACATCAGTGGTAGTATGGGGGTAAGTTAGTGATTGTTTTATTGTTCAGGACAGTGCGAATTTAGCCATTGCTTAATTTTAGGCCCAATGCCTTTGCTTTCATATTTTCTTTTCGGGTGGGATCGGATTATTTAAATATAAATATACTACTACTTTACGTTCCTTAGGACAAATCAATGCGTGAGAATGACTATGCCTCTTAAAGGTAAAGACCAGTATTCGAAACGCCCCAATTTCAAAAAATAAAATGGAAGCTCTCATTACCAATCATGTGAAAGAATATGTTTTGACTAATACATGATGATAAAAAATTTGCCGGGAAACCGCCTACTAATTCATATATTTGGTAAATTGTTTCTCTCATGGACTGTGAGAGATATAGGGTAGTCCCATATACATCTTTCTGTGTATAGTGCTTGTAACTTTACGAAGAATGGTCCAAATTTCTTATCATTTTGATGATTCCAGAACCTTGCAGATGCTAGATGCTAGATGATCAACCTTTTCTGATCGATTCCACAGCGTTTCTTTCACAATGCAATCGCATGACCATTACTGGTCTTTACCTTCAACAACCATGCTTACCAACGGTGTCGATTTGTATCCGTGGTTGGGGGGATGATAGGTGTCCAAATATTTTCGGCAATGGATCAAAGCAGCCAAGAGGTAGAAGCGTGTGGCAGGTTGCATCCCATCCCTTACTTAGTTATTAACTTTTTTCAAGTCACCCTCAATAAAGATAACATTTCAGAGAATATGGGTTATTATCCTCTCAAGCGCGTAGCAATGATTTAATTTTAGGGGGCGGCAGTGAGCACGCGAAGCGTGCGAATCACTTACAAAGCGCGCGGTCCCTAGGGGGTGGGTGCAGGGAGGGGGGTTCCCCGTCCCGCGCGAAGCGCAGATGCTTTGATGTTTCATTAAATTATTAGAGAAAGAAGACGATTCGTTGTACCGTTCTCGACTCTTAATCCTTGTTTGAATCAAGTTCCCCTTCCTCCGCGCGTAGCGCGGAAGCTCTGACATTTAATTAAATTATTTTTAAAAAAAGACGAATCGTTGTACCATTCTCGACTCTTAATCCTTGTCTGAATTCAGTTCCCCGCCCCCTTCCGCACGAAGCGCGGAAGCTTTGACGTTTTATTAAATTATTAGGGAAAGAAGACGATGCGTTGTACCGTTCTCGACTCTTAATCCTTGTCTAAATTTAGTTCCCCTTCCTCCGCGCGTAGCGCGGAAGCTCTGACGTTTCATTAAATTATTAGGCAAATAAGACGATGCGTTGTACCGTTCTCGAATCTTAATCCTTGTCTGAATGCAGTTCCCCTTCCTCCGCGCGTAGCGCGGAAGCTCTAACATTTCATTAGATTATTAAAGAAAGAAGACGATTCGTTGTACCATTCTCGACTCTTAATCCTTATCTGAATTCAGTTCCCCCCCCCTTCCCGCGCGAAGCGCCGAAGCTTTGAAGATGACGATGCGTTGTACCGTTCTCGACTCTTAATCTTTTTTCTTCCTACGTCCTCTTCATTTCTTCTTTCTCTCTCTCTCTCTCTCTCTCTCTGTTTTGGCTAGCTTTTTTTTTTTGGGGGGGGGGCGAATTCCCCCACCACATTAACTACTCTCACCGGGCTCTCATCATTTATTTTTCTCTTTTTTTTTTCTTTTTTTTTTGATGGTGAATTATTGGGGGGGGGGGTGATTGTACAGGCCATCCCCCCTCCCACCTGAAATATTGGGGGGGGGGGATATATCCCCCCATCCCCCCGGGATCGACACCCATGATGCTTACATCACTACATTGTCGATTTTTTTTGTTATTGTCTACACACTTTGTGTCACAATTTGTATGTGGTTGACTTTAATCAGTATCATTGCCCTTAAAAAATGGAACTTCAGAACATTGCAGTGACAACGTTTTCATTATGTTATGATGGAAGTTGTCAACTACCTTTTATCCAAAACGCTATTCTTCTTTTTGATCAAGGTATTCAGTCCTGCATGTTTTATGATAGCATAGTCAGTTAAGGTACCTTCATGCTCTGTTAATGTGGTTGGAACCTGACTCAAATCAACATATGAATGAAGATATTTTGTGATTGAAAGTGATTAAAAATACTATTATGTGGCGTAGTATGTTATGTGTTTGCATTACAACACTAATTGTATAAAACTTATACATTCACAGTCATGTATTGTTTGCTTGATATTTTGAATAAGTGTGGAATTACAGAAAGTGACAGACGAAAAACCATGATTTTAACCAACAAAATTCATACCGTTTCACTTCCTTATTTGTAGGGGAACAGGTTTGACAAAATGATCCAATCATCTACTGACTACATCATGAATGTTATTCCAGACGAAAGCAAGCTTGGAATCGTAGTCTTCGACACTGCATCTGAAATCAGAAAGGATCTCACCGATATCACTGACATGGCCTCGAGACAAAGTCTCGTCAATGCCTTGCCTCCTTCCACTAAAAGTTCTACGTGTATTGGATGTGGAATACTGTCGGGCATTCAGGTACCATGTAGCTCTTTATGTCATCGATCAGTTTCTAATATGTAAATGTTTAAAATATCTGATCGTTATCGTGGAAGTACCTGTTATCATGTAACCAAATTGTATTATTGCAGTCGATTCTCATCGATCCACTTTCAACCTGAAATTCTCTCTCTTTCTCTCGGGTGTTCTTTCATTCTGCGACGTATAACCTGACCTTCAAGATGCCATCTTTGCACTGCAAATTCAAATCCGAAACCGTCTCCGTCAAAAATCTCTAAAAAATTGGAAAAATGGACCCTTAAAATCTGAAATTGCCATAACTTTCTCGTACCTTTTCCGTGGACAAAGCCATGCACAAAGCCATGCTGAATTTAACACTCCAATGAATATGCTAAAAATGAATAGCGCCCTCTAAAGTTCTGGGAATTGGCTTTCTTTTTGTGTCCGTATCTCGATCGTTTCTGGTCAAACCCGTACCCCTTTTTTTAGATTTAGATACTTGAAGTTATGCCATTTCCAGTCAAGTACAAAATTATGTACCCTAACGCTGACCAAATTTGAGAAAATTGCCCTCCAAATTCGCCATTTTCAAGAAAATTGTCAAATAACTTCAACTTGCTCTAAAATGACGATCATTATACATACGTCAATGAAACTTGGCTTACACATGTATCCAAGCACGTGACAATGTTCTGCTAAGTTAGGTAAAATTTGATGACGTCAGCGCAAACTTATTGCCCAAAATTATGAATTTGTTATCCGTTCAATGCGAGCAATACATTGCACGCAGATGCCAATGGTGTCAAACTAACCGCAATGAAGTGTTCTTTCAAATGATACCAAATACGTTATATGTTTTTACAGAAATATTTGAGTAAATTGCGTTTGAACAGAGTCACTATACAAATTCTGCTGAGTTTCCGCCAAGTTATAACACGTTTCGGCAATGACGTCATTTTTCAGACTGCTTTTCGCCCCCTTCCCGTCCTTTTTTTTCCTTGAAATTTTGCAGTAATATTCCAAGTTGCAATACGCAGTGCACCCTGAAGCCAGATTTTTTGAAAATCATCAAGGGGGCCAATTAAGACGCCATTTTATACTCTGCATGATTGTGTTAATAGTATGGGCCGCTGTTTGTGCCACAGCACGCGTCACCACATGTTCATCATGCATTGCCTGCGAGCCCTTTCTAGGTCCCTTTCTCTTTTCCAATTCCCTTCAAACTTCGTAGGCATAGTCTCTTAACTAGCATCTCTTCAAGGTCTGTATTCTTCGTTCTCCGGAATCTCTCATGCGTGACCGTCCAGGCGCCATTTTGTCAGTTTCGGGCTGTTTTGGGGGTCTTTCTTTCGTCCTCCCTATCTCCATTATCACAGAAGGTACATATTTCATACAAATTGCTCTGAATAGTCGGAGAGAAGCTCTTTCGTTTGAACCATAGAAACACATCCGTCATTGCACGCACATCGTTGTGACACGATTGCATGTCCAGTTCTTCCATGTGTTTCTTTTGAATATTTGAGACATCAGTTAGCCCTTCTCCAAATTTGGAAACTATTTCTATACAGATCTTCTTTTTGTATCTGTTTTATTAAGTTCCCTGACTCTTGCATACATCATGTCGGTTCGGCCTCTTTTTCTAAAGTTTCAATCTTCTAACACTGCTCTCAAAGCCGCTTTTTCTGGCCATGCCTGTTTCCCTGCGAGCTCGTTATTAAGTTATCGGTACTTCTTTTTTCCTTCTCCTGTATTTTTCCCTCTACATTGTCTTCATTCCTCCAACTTGTCCACATAGTTTGTGCGACCAATGGCTTTCTTTGTTCTCGCCTCTTCAAGTAGCCAATAGTTTCCTCCGCACTTTCTTTCATCAAGTTCTTGTACATAACATCAGTTGCCTGACTTAGCGCTTCCTGTGATTGGGCGGCTAGTGTTCTGGTATAAGTCGCCAGTCGGAATGGAATGCTGTTCTTCTTCAATCTCTCGAGAAATTTCTCTTTTTTTCAGTTTTTTTAAAGTCTCAGTGATGCATCCACATTGGCTAGGATGTGATTAGAACAAATATTTGCTCCTGGAAAGGCTCTTGGGTTCTTCGCACTTCCTCTGTAACTTTTCCTTATGAATTATGTATTCCAGCTGGAACCTAGGTACATCTCATGGTTGCTTCGGTGTGATAGAATTGTTGTTTGCGATGGTTAAACCGTGTGTTGGTTATTTTTTGTTTTCATAGGTTTTTATTCGTTTCTCTCAAAGAAAATTGTACATTTATAACATAATACATTGGATACAAAATAACAAAATAATTTAACATAGTTCTTTATAAATTTACCAATGATCTTTTACATTTACATACAAAAGTTACACCTCTTCATTTTCCTTTGGAGACAAAAAAAAAAAAATTATATATATAAAAAAGGGAAAAAGCTACAAAACACCTACTACCCCCCCACCCCACACAACATTTAAACACATAACATGTACAACAGTATACAAAACACACGCTAACAAAGAACGAGCAAAAAAAA